TTCCTTTATCTGTCTCTTTGAAGCTTTCTGCGTTTCCTTCAGTAATTAAATTAGTTTCTCTCTAAAGGCTGGGATCTGTTTGATTGTTTCTTCCTGTATTTCTTTAAAGAGTTTTTTGTTTTGTTTTGTTTTTGTTTGTTTCCTTTGTCATCATCTTTGAAGCATAGATTTAAGATCATTCTCTTGTGTTTCAGTTGTGTTAGGCTATCCAGGGCTGCTGCCTTTGGATAACTGGTTCTGGAGATGCCATATTGCTTTGGCTTTGGTTGATGGTATTATGCTGCCATCTGATTGTCTGGCATTGGAGTTAGATCCTGTTGCCTACAGGAGTTCTTGGGGTTTTGGGAAGAGCCCTGGACAGGAAGGTGAATGTTCCTGCAGGAGCCCTTCTCAGAACTGGTGGGAATGACCTTGCACTGGTGGGTGGTTTTCAAAAAATTGCCATTGGGTCTCCTCAGATGTTTGATCCTGGGAAGTGTGTGGATTCCTCAGGAGCTCAGGGATCCTGTTATCGAAGAGGGAAGTCCCAGAGTCAGCTCTCCAGCCACAGGCCTTGTTGGTCTGAGATTAGTGAACCCAGGCACTTTGCTCAGACACTGTTTCCTGGGTGCAGCCTTTTTAGAGAACTTGTGGGCTCAGAGTTCCCGCTGGTCTCCTTAAGGAGACAAATTGAGGCTTGGAGCAGTGTTTGGGATTGCTTCTTTGAGTTCTGGGCATCATGGTACCTGTGGGTTGGAGCTGCTCGCCTGCCTGGGATGGTGAGAGTGGACCCCAAGTTTGGAGCCATGCAGATTTCCCCCTGCCACCCAGTACTTGAAAGTATCCACACTCCATGGCACAGTCAGAGTGAGTGCCCAAGGCTGCTGGTACCAGGAAAGTGTCCACGGGACAGTGAGCCTGGGCACACTGGTTTGGAGCTTCACCCCCTGAACTGGAAGGTATCCACTCCATGAACAGTTAGAGTGAGCACCCAATATCTGAGCTACCAGCAACAGTACCAGGAAGGTATCCACAGATAGTGGGCTTGGGAGGCGGGTCTAGGGCTGCTGCAGTGCTGGGCAGGAGCCTGGGAAATTTTCCCAATATTAGCCTGGTGGCCTTTTGTTTTCCGTGGATTCTTCTCTTACCTGAGAAACACACATGTCAGGGTTTGGGGTTCACAGTACGAACTGCTGGTCATTGTGCTCTCACTGCTGAGCTGCTGTTCAGATATGCTGACCGGTTGGTACTGCCATCTTGGATCCTCTCCCCATTCCTGTTAAAACAGAAATGAAAAGAACATGACAACATTAGCTCAGGGCGAACTTGCCTCTGCTCATACCAATCTCATGTGAATTAGTATTATGGTTGAAAATGGGTTTAAATATGTTTAGACTTTTTTTTAAGAGAAAGCTGCTACTTACTGATTTATTTATTTTGGACACAAAACAGTAAATTCTGTAATTAGTTCAACTAGAACTGAATTATTCTCCCTGAAAATTTGTATTCACACAGGAGAAGTGTGCAGAAAACATTTTTTTCAGTCAAAATTTTAGAATTTTTTTTATGTTTAAATTTGCCACAGCATGGTGCATGAGAAAAAATATTCAAGAAGGTGTCACAAGACCTATATTTTCCAGTCTCAGCTGCACCTCAAATGCATTGTGCCAGAGTTAAAAGGTTTGCCTAATCTAAGCTATTTCTATGGGTAGAAATTACATATTGTCTGATTCAGGAAATGTTGACTCAATTTCTTGTTTTCAAATTCAGTATAATTAGCAGTTCATTGAAAATCTCTTCCTCTGCATTCATTGTTATTTTTTTTTGTTATTGTTCATAGTTTTTTTTTTATATTCGGACAAAACATATTACAGCTCTTAAACTTTAGTAAAATTTATTCTTCTAACCTCTTATCCAATAACGTCATATCAACAACCTTGCGATTCACCTGTATAAAATGCCTTCCATTTCTATGAGCACGTGGAGCTATTCTCTAGATAAAATTCCTTCTGAGAAGTTCCTTCTCTTTTATAAGACCTCATTTCAATGCCATGTCACTAAAAGTCTTGCTTGTCCTACTCAGGCTGAATTACTGACAATCTCTCTGGTTTCCCATACTTATTATACAATAACTACCTACACTCTTCTCAAAGTATCAATGCTTTACCTAAAAATTAACCATCATGAAAGGGATAGGTGAGCCACACCAGAATACAAGTAAATACAAACAAGTCATCTTAGATCATTCTAAATAGAGGGCTGAGCAGGCAATCTCCTCAAGAAACCTAGAGCTAACAATCAATATAGCACTTTCTGGTCTTTCAGAGTGGTGGCAATGAGATGATATGGATTTATTTTCCCAAAAGCCTTCGAGATAAAGTATTAAGTGAAACATCTGGCAAACTCTAGCTCTGCCGGTTAACCTGAACAGTCAACATAACACCATCTAGAGTTACCCATGAAGACCATCTCCATGAAGGACTGTCTAGATCAGATTGGCTGGTGGGCACGGCTAAGGGGAGAATCCCCTTGATTGTGTTAATTGGCATGGGAAGACATGCCTTTGTCTTGTCTCCTGGGCTTGACTGTGGAGAAGCTACTGAGTACAAGTCAGCATGCATTCATCGATTATCTGCTCTGACCTTTGGACGTGAACATCCTCAAGTCCCTCTACTAACTCCCCTGCAGTGACGGACTGTAACTTGGAATTGGGAGCCCAATAAATCCTTTCTCTCCTAAATTGCTTTTTGTCAGAGTATTTTATCACAGCAACAGAAATTAAAGTAGGAAAATTATCTTTTCTTAACAGTGAGATCTGGCTTTCCTTATTGACTGCTAATTACCAATAGCATTTAGATGGGCACAAACATTTCGGCCTCAGCCGCTATGGTTATTTGAGTATTGACCCCTGATAATCAGCCCAATCTTACTTGACATTAATGCTTATGCTTTAAAATAACATACTTTAATTATTTATTTTTTAGGTTATCCCCATCCTCTTTGTCCTTCCAAACCTGCTCATATACCCCTTCTTTGCTTTGTCAAATTGGTGGCCTCATTTTTTGCATTAGTTATTGGAACCTGCATATATTCTGCATGATGTTACTTATATATATATTTTCAGAGCTGACCACTGGGTTGAGATAACCCATTAGTATGCTCTTCCCTAGGGAACACTATTTCTCCTACTCTCAGCATTATTTAGTTGCCTGTAGTGGTTTTGTATTTGTGTGTGGGTTGCCACCTCATGATTTATCAGTTTTGTTTCCTCAAAAAAAGTCTGTTTTTTTTTTTATGCTGGAGAATAAGGTTTTAAGAACAGAAACAATTTATATAAGGACTTAAATATTCCTTTTTTATGTATTCCACATTATGTTGCATTTTCCTTACCAATGAAAATTCCTCCTAATGAAAAAATACTAAAAAAAGAAGCAAAAAGACACACATGGTATATACTCACTCACATAAACATACAGTATAGAATAAACCCTCTAAAATCTGTACATCTACACAAACTAAGCAAAAGAGAGGACCCTAACTAAAATGTTCAATCCCCATCCTGAAAGGCAAAGAGGATGGACATCAGAAGAAAAAGAAAATAGGAAACAACCTAGGAACCTGCTACAGAGGGCCTCTGAAAGCCAGAAGAAAACAGGAAACAACCTTGAAACCTGCCACAGAGGGCCTCTGAAAGCTTCTGCAGTATAGACTGTCAAAGCAGATGCTGAGCCTGATGGCCAACTGATGGGCAGAGTGAATGGAATTTTATGTAAGAAGTGGGAAATAGTAAAGAGCTGGAGGGGACGGGAACTCCACAAGGAGAGCAACAGAACAAGATAATTTGAACACAGGGAACTTCCCAGAGACTCATACTCCAACCAAGGACTATTCGTGGAGATGACCTGGAACCCCTGCACAGGTGTAGCCCATGGCAGTTCAGTGTCCAAGTGGGTTACATAGTAATGGGAAGAGGGACTGCCTCTGACATAATCTGATTGGCCTGCTCGTTGATCACTTCCCCCTGAGGGGGGAGCAGCCTTATCAGGCCACAGTAGAGGACAATGCAGCCACTTTTGATGAGAACTGATAGACTAAGATCAGAAAGAAGAGGAGAACCTCCCCTATCAGTGGACTTGGGGAGTGGCATGCATGCAGAAAGGGGAGGGAGGGTGAGATCGGGAGGGGAGGAGGGTGGGGCTTATGGGGGGGATACAAAATGAATAAAGTGTAATTAATAAAAAATTTAAAAAAAATATCACATATATTCTATTTTAATCACTCACTGATTTACTTGAATGATTCATTGCACAAATACTTGAGCATCAATTGAACATATATTGGAAAAAGACTTATGCAGATGAATAGCAAAAATAGATGTAATTCATTGGGATACTGCAAATGCAAACATGAAGAATGCAGGGTTTTGAACAAATAAAGATGGTTTTGTGCCTTAGCTTTACCTCTGATCCATTATATGATCCTGAACCTGTCTCAGATCTTTCTAATTGTCTGTTTCCCTGTTGGGAAAATGGGTTAAAGAGAGTAGGGTCTAGTTCTTTTTGTTTGTTTGTTTTGTTCTTGTCTTGTTTAGTATCAATCCATGATACCTATCACAAAACCTCATTACAAAACTTTGCTCTGTATGTTATAATATAGGAAAATGTGTGATTCAAAGTATCTTGGTGGCGGGATAATGTTTGAGTGGAATGTCAGCAAAATCTTCCAAAAGATGTTATTTGAACTAATTCCTAAAGTTTCAATTGTATGTGATTAATATGCAATGATAATGTCAATCATCATAATTATTAGAATATAATAATAATAATAATGAGCATACTCAGTATGTGATAAGCAGTATTTTAGGGCACTTTGTATATTAAATAATTTCACTACTTAAAGATTTTATGGTAAGCATTTTTCTGATTCTTATTTTACACATTAGAAAATTAAGGTAATAAACACTTTTGTCCCTGGTCAATAGGTAGTAGAAAATGGCAATAAATATTGCTCTTTACTTTCAGGTGTCAGAATCTTCTTTAGTTGATGACATCAGAAACAATGGCAGTGATAATATTCCATTTACTCAAGTTCGAGGAAGATACAGAATAGAACCTGGCATGGTAAGGCTGAAAATGTAGTCAGTGTTGTGGAAAAATACATACTCTACAGTATATATGCTCAAGTTAGGGCTTGAACCACAGCAAAATTGGCTTGAAGGTATACAAATTCCATGAGGCTCCCCCAACTCAGCATTTAGAATAGGTTGATTACTGGGTAAAACAAAACATTATTTAAGTACATCATGATCTATAAAATGAGGTACTTTTGTGTGCAACTGTGTTAGCTTTCTATTGCTTTACATGAAGTGACCATGTCTAACTTCAGGTTTCCTCTCGTCTGTGAGATGTGAAAAAGATTTTATGTCCATTATGCAAGTGATCCAGTCTTCAATCATATTCGTATTGCTTCATCAATACGTATTTTTAACTTTTAAAACTTTGATCTTACCTTGTGGGCAGGGGAGATAGCTCAGTGAGCATCATGTTTGCTGCACCATAATGAGGAGCTGAGCTTGGATCCTGAAAAACCCATGTACAAAAGGAGAACATGGACTCGTGTGTGTTTGTACAAGGGTGGAGACATGTATGTCCTTGGGCTCACTGGCCAACCTGTCTAAAATATAAGTGAGTCCAATTCAGCAGAAGAGAAAAAGTGGATACTGATAGTGAAAAACTTACACATTTACTTCTGACCTCCACACTTGCACACATACAAGTACACACATACACATACTAGCATGCAAACAAACACACAATACACAATAGGCTAAATCCTTTCCTGATTGTATGAAATATTTTTAAAACTCAGATAAACGTGATACAAATGAACAAATAATTGCTTATGTGGTCTTTGCAAACTCATAGAGTAAGTTTTTTTTTTCTCCTCCTTCATCCTGGAAAACAAATTTAAAAGAATGAAATTAATTAGAGAATTACCTTAATGAAAACATGTGTTGTATTGGCACTTGATAATTTTTCTAGAAAGTTATTATAATTCCTGATTTTGAATCCAAAATCACTGAAGATTTTTAATGGATATTACTGGGGTGTAATTGACATGTAATGAAAGGTATTGTTTTATTTATAATTCAACTTAAATGGTTACATGTGCTTTTTTTTAAATCTTTCTCTTGGTATGTCTTTGGCCTAGTCAATAGTAGGATTATTTGTATCATTATTCATTAACTTTTATTTTCTGGAATTTTATATCATGGAATTATATAATGGGTACACTTTTAACTAGAATAATGATGTAAATTCTTACTGATTCATGCCTTTTAATTTATATATTTACTGTTATGACACATGTATAGTAATTAGTTTGGGATGTTATGAAAAAAGAACATTGATATGCATTTGATGAACATTGATATGCATTTGATGAACATTAATATGCATTTCTAAGCGGAGATGTTTACCTTGCTTCTGAGTGCCTAGAAATAGGTGGCTGAGTGTATAGTGTATTTACATTTAACTCTAGGAGATACCCAAAAGTTTTCCCAACATGTCTAATCATTTGTCAGTCCCACCAACATTATATGAGAGTTGATTGCTTCCCATTCACATCACCATTTGGAATTGCTCAACTCTTTGATTGTAGTCTTTCTGAGAGTGAATTCATTGTGGCTCAATTTTTATTTTCTTTCTGATTTCTCTGATGTTTTTGATCTTTATATTTCTTGACATTTTCATAACTAAAATATACAACTTCTAGTATGAGATGTATCTGTTTCCGGAATCAGGGATATAGAAGGCATGAACAAACATTTGAAGGTGGTGATATGTCCCCAGTGGTGTTTGTGCTAATAGTTTCCTGGATGTGTTCATGCACTGAAACATCAAGCTTTACATCCTACGTGTTTATTATTTATTGTATGCTAGATCTTTGTTCTCTACTTCCTACTTGAGTTGCCTCATTCTCTTTTATTTGTCCAAGTCATTCCCACTCATCCTTTTGGTCTCTACTTTGCTATTATTACTTTGCTATTATTATTATTATTATTGTTATTATTATTATTATTAAGCAGTTTTTCTCAAGACTCTTCTACCAATTTGCCTTGTCCTCTGATCTGTCATCTCCACAAGACCAAACTGTATTGATAACTAGCATCTTTATCACCATGATCCAACTTTAGTGCAGTAGAAAGCAGAGTAGTCACTCAAAACTATTTGTTGAAGGGCTGCAGAGATGGTTCAGTCATCTATGTGCTTGCTGTTGGAGAATGAGGACATAAATTCAGATCCCCACACCCATGTAAAACTCTGGACACACCACTGGTGCACCCTTAGTCCTAGCAATGAAGATAAGAATATCCTAGAGGCTTGTCTAGTTAGCCTTGGTGAACTGGCCACCTCCAGGTTCAGTAAAAAACGAAACAAGACACCGTGTCAAAACTGAGGTGTAGAGAGGCAGAAGACACCTGATGTTCACCTCTGGCCTATGCTCGTTGATCCTGAGGTGCACATGACTGTCCACACACATACGCCACATGTACACACAGGATTCCTTTGAATGAATATGTAAATAAACAGTAATTGCATATCAAAAGCAGGAGGTAATGTGTTGACATTATAAACCAAGTGAAGGCTTCTTTTAAAGTCAGATGCTAACAAGTTTGGTAACATAATTATATCTTCTAACACATTATGCTTGATATTGACTATCATAATAAAAGAATAAATTTAGCATTCTTGTAATATGAGTAAGACACATACTATACAAAAAGATAGTTTTATTTTTCTTTTCACAATGATCTTACTTTAAGTAAATGGGGAATGGAAACCTGGTGGGGCTATACCTCAAATTTAGAGCCATCTCAGACCTTAACCATCATGTGTTCAGCATATTAAAAGAGATAATTGTGTCATATCTTAACTCTGTGGTAGGTGATTGTAAGAGCAATCTGGTGTCTTTACAACTTCAAGGGAGCAATTGTTTCATTGAATAATCATTTCATTTAATTTGGGCATGATTAGCTAAGGGCCCCTGTTTACAGTATGATAGAGTGATGTTCTTCTGGATAAGTAAGTCACCTCATTTACTTCACACAGCTAGCCAGGCATCTATTGTTAGAATGAAAGGCAGCTGATAAGGAGAGTCTATTTGCAGCACAGGAGCGCTCAGAGACAATAGGAAACCATTCAAAGTAAGCCATGTTTTTGTTGCTGCCTTCCCATGAATTACTGTTCTCCAAGTTGAACTCGTGATTTAGGTTTTTTGTTTTTTTTTTTTTTCCCTTTCTGACAATGAAATATTTGTCTTTGTTTCACAGATGGGCAAGCACACTATAAAAATAGAATTTTTATTTCACAGGAATTTTGCTGTATTTGGTAGATGTTCATTTGAAATTGCTGGAGATTTGGAACTAAATATTGTGTGTATTGAATGAGTGAATAAGAGAATGAGTGAGTGAGCAAAGGCATATTATTAAACACTAAGGCATGTGAGACATTCTAATATGTACTTTTACATATGCTCCTTTTGGTAATCTTCATAGTAATCCTGTTACTTTTATGCTGTGATTCGGTGACCTTCTCCCCTCTTTCAGTGAATGAGTGAATTATCAAGGAGACTGAGTGATCATATCAGTTACTCAGCATGTGCTGATACCAAGAACTAAAACCCAAGACACAGATGTTACTCTTTCAACATTAAAATTTGACAAAACAATGGATAAGCAATAAGACCTACGGTTTATTTATTTTTAATTTAATTTTGCTGCTAAGGAAATTCCTATAGTGATTAAAAATTTCTATTTTTAATAGCAGAAATGCAAAACTGACAACTATGATGGCTGTGGAAGTCAGCATACTGTCTTGCCGCATTGGAGCACAATTGATTATGACTGGTGCATTTTCCTTTCTTCAGTTGCAGTCCTGTACTTGGGTAGGGTGGTAGCTGGTCAACTGAACACAGCTTAGAGTCACCTAGGAAGTGTCTCAGTGAGTGACTGGTTTGTTTGTGGACTGTCCTGTGGGTGGTTGTTTTGGTCTTTCTCAATTGCTGTGGAAAGGAGACATGCCTGAAAGTAGGTGGCAAGTGTTCTTGGTAGGGGGCCCTGGACTGTTTAAGAGTAGAGAAAGCTATCTGAGAAAGCTATCTGAGCACGAACTGTGCGTGTGTTTCTTCTCTTTCTGCTCTTAGATATGATGTGACCAGCCTAGAGCCCCTGCCGTGACTTCTCCACAATGATAGACTCTAATCTGGAATTACAATCCAAATAAACCTCTTCTTCCCAAGATTCTGTCAGGTGTTTTATTGTAACAACAAAAATGAAACCAGAACAGATAGATGAAGAAACAAAGATGTACATTAGTTTTCCTGGTGTCCTGGTAAAAGCAGAATGGCTGCATTGTTCCTAAATGAATAAATTACTATTCATTCATTTATTGACCAAACAGTCCATCCGATAAGAAGACAACTTAAGGAAAGGTTGAGCAAATATTTTACATGAAACGCAAGTAAAAGACAGCTACTCATTAAATGAGACTGTTCAGAGGCATCTGCCCTGTAGTCAGAGAAGCAGCAATAGAGTCTGAAATCAGAGAACATAGAGCGCTCAAAGGTCTGAAGGTATCATGAAGGAAATCAGACTTCTTCGATTGTGTGAAACCTGACCAGATTCTAAATGAGATGGTGTGTCGCTTGGCAAGAGGGACATGGAAGGGCTGAGAAAGGCTCTAAAAAGAGCCATTGGATGCTTGGAATTATTTGGCAAGTATAATGGGTTTATGTCTTTCTGTTAACTTGTTGAAAGAAATACCAGGAAAACAACAGAATTTGTGGATTGTATAGCATAAACCAGGTAAGGCTGTAAGATATCTTCTAATGCATCTCATTTCAACCTTCCAGAGGCACTGTAACATCAGTACTATGCTGCACAATAGAAAATGGCAGTTTGGGGAATTTAACTCCATCAACCGAGTATCTGTATGGACTTTAAATGCGATTATTAACACTAAAGGATACATCCTTTCCTACTGTTCTGATTTCTAAGAAATTTATTTGAAATTTCTTTAATAACAGTGAGCTTCATTACATATTTCAGAAAAGTCCATGA